TATATATATATATATAGCCTTCTTTCTCACTTTTATTTTGACAAAATTACTCGTGGTCAGACTGTGTTATAAGGACTTTAATTTTTAAAACTTATCGGTATCTACCATATCGAATGGCAGTATAATAATTCCGGAACACCTTGTATATATAGCTATGATTTTAATTAGCGGAACTAGAGAACATTAATCCGAGATTAGAGATTAGTTTATTTCTTGCTAAATAACGCTTTACTAAAAAATTCCAATACTTAAATTACTTAAATATTATATATTAAAGTAATTAAAGTAATATCAAGAATCCTCGGCTGTGATGGACGCATCTAGTGATGGGCTGACAAATCTATCTTGAAACACGAAATTGTTTTATGCGATGTGAAATATAATTTTCGTGGATGTGCACTCAGAAAAAGGTTTCTTTGCTATACGGTTAAAGAAAAAATTTCTTTGATTTGAACCGTGAATGTTATTTCTTTTTTAAATTTTTTAATTTAAAAAATTTTTAAATTTTTTAAATATTATTTTTTGAAATCAAATAAAAAATGTATTTGATTTAAAGAAATGATATTCAAATCAAAGAAATGATGTTCAAATCAAAGAAATGACATTCACGAAAATTTTTCAGAAAATTTTTTCATAAATTTTTCATAAATTTTTTTCTTTACCGTTTAGCAAAGAAAATTTTCTTTGAATTGAAGAAACCTTTCTCTGGATGTGCGAATTGCTTAAAAATTTATGAGAAAGATAACAGACAGCTGATCGCTTGACGTGGCGAATTAGACAAAGTAGAAGGCAAACTTCCGACGCCTTGCATACCCAATTAATAAACGTTCTTATAGCAGAGATTAATGAATTGCGACCTTTGTTATTGCGCATGCTGCGCGATGCAGATGGTTTCGCGTTCTCGCAAGAAGAAGGTGGCTCGGTGACCCAGACGGACGTGATCAGAGCCTACGACACGAATCTTCCAAAACCCGGTGGCATGTGATTTAAGCGGAGTGGCCGTCGTGCGGCAAAATGATGCAGGCTGCTCTTCCAAGCAGTGATGAGCTCCGCATTTTACTCGATTGACATGGGAGAGGATCACCAGAACGATGTATGACATTGGGATCAGATCGATGATAAGTTTAAGGATCGAGAAGACTCGAGAGAAAAAATTCCTATTCTTTAATTAGTCGAATTTTACTAAGTTAGAATCTGACGATCCTAATGAAAATGGCCTTTCAATCGCGACTGATCATTCAAATATTTTATTTCGTTGGACTTATCACTCGGGAAAAGGGAATTGTATACTTGTAATCTAATGCGTGCATTCGAAATGGATGCGACTAATTAATATGTCAATAATGTTCGAAGAAAGGATTCCTCTTTGAATTACTGCGATCTACTTTTACAGAAGGATGCTCTAATATTAGCACGAGTAATTATTTTGATACTTCATGAAATTTATTCTGATATATTGTAGAGATCTCGTCCTTAAAATATCGGATAGCAACGCATTTCACTCGCGATGCATTTGGAAACGCATTTCGTGTTAGTATCAAAATTGTGTACGCAATCTTATGTAGTAAAAAAAAAAAGGAAGAAAAAAATCGCGTCTATTCTTGTAAAACGCAAGAACGGAATGCCGTTCTATTTCTTCTTCTCAAGAATAAAAATTGCG